TAGGTCTGTGCAAAGATGGCTGAACGCCAGTCGTTTGCTTCACTGCATATGACTGATGATGTCTTTCATATACGTGAAACTGTACACACTGTTCAATAATGCGAGGCGTGCATGACAATGGCGTGAATTTAAACCCACAATGAAAGGACCCGCGAGAAAATATGAAATAATAGAAAACGAGAGTAAATACAATTTTGCTGATAGAAAAGAAAGAGAAAATCAGGATGAAAATAGATAACGGACTTTGTTTACGGTAGAAATCTAGGGGGAGGAATACAAATATAGGATGGATTATTCACTGCTGTTGACTGTTGCAGTGTCAGCTTGTTATTCTTGCCTACAGTATCTTGATTTATTTTCTACGCCTGCCATCTTTCAATTGAGGTGATTATCATGCCAGTTGAAAGAGGAAAGTTTGAGAGCGGCAGAATAAAAGAAGTGAGAGGTGGTTGTACGGTAACAAGATAGCAAATTAATGATGGGATGTAATGCTGCGGTGACACATGTAACAGCCTCTTCACATCTCAAAAAAAAGCCAGCAAATTAATACAGCCTGGTGATGAATGACTCTTGTAGTCAAATAGTCATGTAATCTAAGCAGCGCTGTGCAGGAGGAGGAAAAAAAACGGAACCTTTTCATTATTAACAATGAAATTGCAAATATCAGCAGCACTGAAATGTAGTTGTAAGATTATTTCTAGAATACAGCACATTTCTTTTTTAGTTAACGCGTTCAATGCACATTTATACAAATAAAAACCACTTTATCCCTCGGTTGGAGAAGAAACAACACGATGCACCAATTGGGAACTCACGAAACAAACATCACAGGAACATGTTCTTTCCAAAAGTGAAGTCGTAGCTTAGAATAGCACGAACAAACATTTTCAATCAGAAGTTGTAGAGACACTGCAGCAAAAGTTTCTTGGCCAGCAATTGGACTGTACGTCTGGAGAGTGGCTCTGTGCGGGGAAGACATCAGTGAGCATGCTCAGGGACACAGCTCCATGTTTACTTTGCTAGTTTGATGAGCTGAGAGAAATAAAATATGCCTGCCGTCGAAATTTGTTAGTAAATGTCACCCAGTCTGTAACAGGATCCGAAGTCAGATTCACTTAATGCCAACTACAATTGCAGCCTCCATACCCTCCGTTTTACTGCATACTGTAACATATGAGGTTTAAATGATTAAATAATATTTAATAATGTGGCTTTGTTTTATGGTGAGAGCAGCAGAGAGATTATGATCCTGTTTTCTGTAAACACCGGTTCATTATCCTCATCATGTGTCTCAAGCTTGTATCCAATCCTGTGTCCACTGTTCTGTTCTTACCCCAAAGGACAACCCTTTAGCGTGGCCTGTGGTCAATAAAGGCCCGGAGCACACACAAACCCCAGAGTAATTCCCCTTTGTACCTGCAGGAATGTCAGTGCACATGTCAGAACAGAAAAAAAAAATAGTCTGGCTCAAATTTCCCATCTGGCTCCGGGCCTTAATCCTTAACAAGGGACAGTTGAGGACACATCCTCTCCTGTATTTACAAACCTGGATTCTCAGTGTGGCAGGCCGCAAAGGACTAATTAACACAGGTTTCTATTTTGGTGTCGGTCAAGAAAGCGAGAGAAGTATTGTACTGGCACATGGTGCAGCAGCTTTCTGTGTACATAGAGCTCTGCAGGGTAAATATGGTGCAGCCTCTACAGATCCATGCTTTGCTGGCCCCAACTGTGGTACTGTTGAAGATAATTAAAAAGAAGAGACACTTTAATACATCAGGCTACTTACTGAGGCTCAAAGCACACAGTTTGCTGTACTATATTTAGTACTTGAATAAATACTTTATTCTGGATTGTGATGATGATGTCATCCAGTACATGCCAGCTAATCAACATCAGTATGAAGTCTAAAGCAAATTCCTTCTTTTTAATTGAAAATGTACTCTTCTGGCTCTACTTTGTAAAAGGACAACCACTTGTCTTGTGCAAACACTAATATATCTTGACCAAGGCTTGTCACTTGCACACAGAGTACATTACCAGTCAAAGTGGCTTCTGTGCTGTTAGCTAAACCCCAACCCCCAGTGTCAAACTGTAGTCCTAACTTCTTCCTGTCTTCTAGTTTTGTTTGTGTTGTGTGTTTTTTTTGGGGGGACACAACTTGGTAAAGTCAATAATTTCATTACATTGGAGCACTGATGACTCATTAGATTTGTAAGGATATAGTGAACCTGCCATCTGCAGTCTGCTGTGTAGTCACTGTACCTGATGAGAGAAGTGACAGGATCCTGTCAAGTTAATTCAGCCATGATCATATTTCAAGGCTCCAAGAAACAGCCTGGATATGCAGGTTGACACACACCTTTAATGGCAAAAATGTACTTTATTTTAATCTGAATAGAGATGCATTGAAGAAACGCAAACCGTTTTGAGTAAAATGTTTTTTTGCAATATCTTTTATGTCTTTCCTTGCTGATGCTTCAACAATCCTTGATATAATATAAATTAAACAAACATTGACCAGTGACAATGACATAATCCATTGGGATGCTAGGCTGTGACGTGGACGCAGAGTTTACATCCAAGCAGACTATGAACACAGCCTGTCCCTGTGTAGACACCCACGAAACACGCCACTCTGTTGCTAACACCCAGTCTGCACTGTATGTGACGGTGCCAGACCGGCAGATGGGTTGGCCACCCAGCAACCTCTGACATTCAACCTTCAGAAAAGCAAGGCCATGGATTCTATCCAGTGGTCTTCATCACTCTCAAATGTTCTGCCAGAATGGAACCAGGAGGCTTGAGCCAATCTGGGGCAGATGTCGTCTCAGAGGAGACCATATGACTTCCCCGAAAGATTTTCTCTGTAATGCAAAACATTTTAGGCTCGATGCTGCGAGCCTTAAAAACAGCTGCATATTAGTATTATCTTTCCCGTGGATGCAGACGTTTTACATGTGCAACATCCCCAGCTGCTTTCTATTTCTGCAAGCTGACAGGAAAAATGACTGCAGTGACATTTCAGTTACAATCCTGTAAACTGTGTCATCGACACCAACAGGATGATGTAGAATCAAGCAGATTCCTCTATTGTTTCCCAACCCACTTTTACTCGAGCTGCACCCTTAATCATTGGAGCCCATTGTGTCAGTTGTTATACTGCCTTTGTTCGTTTAATGACCAAACCCTGAAGACACAATGGAAAATTATAGTTTTGAAGAGCAGGCTAATTAACGCTGCTTATTAGAGAGACGTCAACACTGGAATAACGATAGAAAAGGGAAAGCTAGAGGGGTTTGAGAGGGATGCACGCTGTGACATATCTGAGGTTTCAGACTTGAGGAGAAACTTGGAGCATAAAAGGGTTGTCAAAACTGAAAGCAAGAGAGAGAGTACATTTAAAAAGCAGTTTGTAATTCAATTTAAATGAGCTGAAATACAATGACACTAAAATAAGAACAATTGTACTCATTGTGAGCAAATGGAGCTGAAGACCTTAAGGTAAAGTATAATTTGTCTAAAAGACATAATTTGTTTTTTGTATTGAACTTATAAAGTTTTTTTTTGGATTAAAGGCATTAATGTTCATGATAAATTCACTCTAGTGTTTTCATAACAGAATCATAAGTAACAATGAGGTTGTGCTTCTGGAGGGAAGCTTTTACCATGACTGCCTCTAGTGCCACAGTTTATTTCCAAATCTCAAATTTAGCCGATGCTGAAGCAAACAAGGCTTTGATTGGCGTTCAGCTTAATGTGGGAATGCAACACATGGAGGATCTGGCAATCTAGATCCAGATTTTTGTTGGGATCTGCAGGGAATTTTTCGTGCAATTCCCCACATCCAGATCTGTACCAAAATTGAATGGCCTCTTCCCCGACCCATCCAGGTTTTGTTGTGATCTATTAATTAGTAGTTTTTATGTAATCCTGCTAAGACCCCAAAAAATGCAGAAAAAAACAACCTGATGAAAAATGCCCCCCCAAAATAGGAATCAGTAAAAACAATAAAATAAAATGGTATATACTGTAGTTAGGTAGATAGATGCATGGATTAATGGGTTTGGGTTAAGTTGAATCCTGAGCATAATAAATGGCTGCAGAACTTTGAAAGCACATAAAACAGATTAAACAGGACACAGAGGGTCTTATATTGCATGCCCACTGCCTCTCACATGCACACACATGCAGACACACACACACCCTTTCCTGTGAAGTGAGCATCAGATGCTTGGCTGCAGATCCGCTCATAGAACAGGAAGACGGGGAAAGAGAGAGAACACCTTAATGTGCCTTCAACATATGCTGTTAGCTACTGATGGATGCAGCGCTCCCCAGGCACCGGAGCAGCTTATCGTTAGTGCATCATAGTGTGGAACGTCACAAGTGAGATCATCCGCCATGATAAGCGATCAGTTTTTTTGAAGAAATATTGAACATTGACAATCAAAAATTAGATCAGAGTGGCTCGCTCTGCACTGGAAGCAAATTTCTCAGGGGTGGCCGTCACTCGCGTCTAATTATCGTAGAACTTATATTTGAATTCACGCTAACAAGCTTTCACTCAGATTTCTTATTAAATAACTTAACTGGCAGTAGTTGGTCTTAAGAAAAGAGGAAGAAAATTGAGCATACACCAACTTTGAGATCCTGCAAGGGCTTTTAATAACGCCAGCAGCGTTTTGACACTTGCTTGACAAAGTCGCGATTAGCGAAATGGCTCGTTACCCAGAGGGAAGAAGTAAAAGAAAGAAAGCTCTAACATTAAAACCCACCACAGGAACCAGCTACGGTTGTTCTTTAATGGATCCTTGCTGAAAAATACAGAATAATTGCTCATATCACCTTTGACTTATGTGTTTCCTATTTTGAAAAGACAACCTCTATAAACACAAATTACAGATAATGTGCGTGATGATTTAAAAAAAACAAATGATTTAAATTAAGCACTTGATCTTTACATTTTGAACAATATGAAACGTCTTTTTTTTTTTCCCTAGAATCCCAGATGGAGCCTTGAAAGTGTTGTGTTATCTGTGAATAGCATTGTTCTCATCCTCTGAGGGATAAACAAACCAGAAAACCATTTCAGAAGAATCCGCTCCTGAGTATTACGAAGCTGCCAGTGCTTTGGATACTGTCCGCGCTGGCCCCTTTAGTTTTTTACCGAGCACATATCTACTTTTAGACTTCAACAGCATAATGGTGTTTGCTTAACTGAGCAGCCAGCAATCACTCTCCTCTCTGCCAGTGTCATATCACTGATCAAGTGTGGCTCAGTTCCTGTCGGAGAGGACGGCTGCCAGACATAATGCAATAATAACTGGTGCACAGCTTGTCTAAGAGAACCATGGTCCTATTCCACTGCTGACGATACTGGGATGAACTCTTTGTGCTTTTTCTCTCCTTCTCCCTTTTTCCACCAGCTCTGACGCTCCGGAGAGCATAATGAGACAATTGTAATTTCCTGCCTCTTGCTTAAAATCGTAGAACATCTGAAATATATACAGAAGACGATTCTACTTCAAATCAAATAAAATCAGGCTTATCTAAGACAGAAAAACACAGTTTTGACTTATTATTTTTTGACAGAGACAGAAACAATGGCCTGTGCAAAAACTTGAGGGAGACATTGGAGAAACATTGCAGAGGACGGGTGTCTGAACATTTCCACACGATAAAACAGAAATACTGATATTTATCTCCATCGCATCAGCAGCACAACAGAACCCAGCTGCAAATTGAGTTTAGTGTTAATTAATAGCTACTGAATGCCTGGAAATAGTAATAAAACTGAGGAAGGCTATTGCACAGCACTTAGTGACTGCATCTGCATTGGCCATAACTATTGTATGATAAACATCTTTAAAGCCTCCATTATCCAGACCGTTATTCAAAGCTTTTCACTGTAACAGTTGGCTTTAATGTAATACGAGTGACCTTGAAAGAAGGCAAATGCATCAACTAAATGTTAAAAATCTAACAGCTTTTAGTCTCGACAAAGAAGACTCTTCTTATCCGACATAGTGGACGTGAACCTGCACTGCACCCCCACAGATGCCTGGTGTGATGTTTGACAGATTTCTCCCTCTCCAGCTAGGCTCACAGTAAATGTCCATCTGGCAGCTTCCCATGGGTACTTATTATTCTCAGCTAGCCAGGGGTTTTCTGTTTCCGAGCAGTCAGCCTGCGCCTGCCTCAAAGAGTTGAGAGCCAGACCAGAACTGCTTGCAGATGCTCTGCCGGATAGCCAAACTGTGCCGGTATAGTAGCGTGGCGCTGGGTTTTCAATTACACAATGAAAACTAGTATTAAAAGTCGAGCACATTAAGAACTATAACATAATCAAGACAAAACAGCAGACAAGCAAGAGTCGCATTGAGGTTCACTGTTTTTTTTATTATTAGTCCAATACACTTGCTCCACCTCGGAGATGAGATGATTTTTTTTCCCTTTATGAACAGATGCTCAGAGCCTTGGGAAGTGTTGAAAGGGCCTGCTGTCCTGGTCTGGGACCCTGCTATGGTGGATTCAATCATGCAGTTGACCTCTATCACACTCCCGCCACATGCTGAGCATCTCGAGAAAAAAATCTGACGAAGCACAGGATGCTACACTGATCTCGGCATGCAACGGCTAAGGGCTTTTTCACACTGGGTTTGTTTGTTTCTGTCAGAGTGTAGTTGTAACCCATCTCATTAGACCTACTGGTCTACTGCCACCCTTGTTTACTGCTGATACGATCTGCAGAGTTTTTGTGGGAATCTTCTAAAATGAAGAGTAGCACTGTGAGGAAAATTGCTGATTGCTATTTTGGCATATGCAAGAAAAATAAGTAGTAAAGTGCATCCTTGAGAAGAACCACAAGTACAACTGAAGGCATTTCATCTTTCAGACATTATTGATAACAATTACCCAGAGCCACTAATGATATCATAATGCCTGAATATGTCTTACAAGGCAAATTTGTTGCAATTTATATTGGCTTCTGGATTTGGACTAGACTGCCCATTGGGAATTGCTTTATTTCTCTTGATGCTGCATAAGAAGAGACTATAGCATCATAGCATCATGTTCAATGTTATCACTCAATACATGTACATATGAGTTAGAGTATCAGAAAGGCCCCCTATACTGCTCGGTCAGGCATTGGCATGATGCAGATCGATATACCTATCTGATAACAAAAGCTACTTACGTTAGCCAGAGCTAGCTGAAATATCAGCAGTTTGGCAATATTTCATGCTGCAAAGCAACCGTAGTGAAATTATATAAACATTAAATAACTGACAAATACTTGTGTAAATATGTGCTCATTTGTTTCTGAGAAGTTTATTCCTTAAGTGAGGATGAAGATTGTGTAAGAACAGATGTTTTAAGTTTACCAATTGGACACGTAGTCAAGGAAAGGAATTACGATAAAACATCCCCAAGAGGGAGAATCTATTGGCAGGACGAGTCGAGGAAACTGTCAACACGCAGGGAGATGGATGATGGGAACGTTCTCGGAGCATATCCTGCTATTGTTATAATTCTGAATTAATCTGAATCAGGAGTGTTGCAAGACTTCCTGTTATGCAACATTTGGACAAAGCTACAAATGGAAGACGTTCTGTGAGTGGCTGCTCATGAATAATAAGAAATACAACAGTGATATGCACAGCTTGCAAGGCTTTGTTTTCAAGGGGTGGCAGTGACGTGCATCACAATAATAGCAACCATCACTTCCATAAAGGGTTAGTAGCATCCAGATGTTAAGTTAAGTTTTTAGGTTTTTTTAAATGCACTGGTACCGGATCTGTGCTCAATATCCAAAGTCCAATTATTGAAATCTAGAAAGGGAAAATGGTAACACAACATCTCTGACTTGCAGGTCCCTTATAGGTTCTTGTTTTTTTCATGAGAACAGGACATCCAAGGCAATGTCTCCGGGACAGGGGGGTATCATGTAGACGTGTGAAGTTGGGAACAGCAGAAATGCTCACTGTTTAACATATGAGGTATTTCCACACTCTCCCCATGATGCAGAAATAGACACTGTCCATGCTATGCTTGTGTAAGTCAACACTGGCGGCATATTCTTTGAACAATCTGGGCCATTTGATTCTCATTTGAATAAAATTCAAATTGATGGCACAAAGCACACATTCGGCTTGCCAGAAAAAAATGCCACCACTGTGTATTCCTGTGCACACATGTGGGGAATATTGCAGAGCATTGCATACCTTACTGAGCAAACAGCAGCCTCTTGGTGCCGCTTCCAACCCTCCCCCACCATCCAGCCCTCTCCCATTTGTATGTATTCATGTCAGTCCCGAAGACACATGACAACTCAAACATGACTCTCGCTCTTGAGAACAGCGCAATGTGAAAGTGAAATGAGTCTTACCTAGTGTGGAATAGTTGGTCACATCTGTAAGCAGGCCATTGGGGAAAAGGGGGGAGTGGGAGGAGACGGGGGAGAAGGGGGGGAAATAAGTGGGAGAGAAAGAGAGAAAAAGAAACGTCAGCAAATTACAATGTACAGCAAACTAAACTTCAATGCAGGCTGAGGCTGTCACTGGCTCCCCTGAAAAATGATGGTGTCCCAGCATTGTACTGACTGGGGTTTAAGAATAGTCCCTGTCAAGATGGGGACATCATTTATTAATCGGGAGACATGAAAAGTCTGAGATAGTCTCCCCTGAGAATCCAGAGTTTGCACAAGTTGCATTAATATTTGTCGGTGTTTCAGGAATTTGAGGGTGGATGCTGAGAGGACGTAAGCAGAAACCTAATCTATTACTGACATGTTTTTGCTTCTTGTGTGCTGGTGTTACGTGACCGCCGAACCCACAAATGTGCTCGCACAAACATACCGCGAAGCCAAGGTGTTCTCCACATGTCTGGGAGGTAATTTAGTAGCCCTCAGATACCTCTCGCCCCGTGTGCCTGGACCTTTGCAACATTTCCCCAAGCTTGTTAGTTTGACAGCCAACGTCCAAGGTTCCAACAGCATAATAAAATGGCAGACCCACACTCCCCACAAAGACATTAGGGTGGCCCCGGCAAAAACAGTGAACCAGTGCTAAAAAAAAAAAGAATAATTTAACCACATCTTCACTACTACCTGACATTCATATCTGCAAAGATTTACAGAACTGGATATTATAAGGGTTAGGGTTCTCTGTGTTTTCCTCCACTTTTCTGTACTAACTCTCTGGCAGCTTGAAGAATAGAGACTGGATTTCCATTACAGCATGCTTTGAAAGTGGTCCCTGTACGAATGTATTCTTCTAAACTACTGGTTTTGCTTTCTTGTAAATGCGCCATAAAACAAGGAAATGGAGGGAGCTGACAATAACCGGGTGTCGGGTGAGGGAAATACTAGACTCAGGACTAATTCTGAGTTGCCATCTCTTACTGTGCAGTGCAGTTGTGTTGCTAAGCAGAATTTGCGAGTAATATGATTTATCACAGATGACCCCCCCCCCCACACACACACACGCCCTGCATTCATTTACATTTTCGGTGTGCATGCAACAAATCCTCAAGGGGATCAACGACGGGCTGGGAATGTGATTACAATATCTGTTTTGCACGTGAGAGCAAATCTGTTTTTAAGGGAGAGGGGGAAAGACCGGGGGTTCAATCTCAGGGACGCTCATTACCATTCTGTCTGACACAAATTCACACTCGCCGCTACTGTTGTTGCAAAACAGAGACCTCAGCGGAGGACCTTGAAACTCCACGCACGGAAAATTGGACCCAGGGGAGAGGGTGGCAGGGACTGATGTCAGACTTCAAGAGCCACGTGAAGCACCTGGGGTTTCAATGACATTAGCATCGGTGTTGTTTGGTAGAGAGCGCGTGAGAGACCAAGACTTGAAGGGACGGTGTTAAAAGGCAGCAGTGAAAATAAAATGGAGGTGAATGGGATGTGGTGAAATTTTAATGCGATACACTGTGGCATGAAGTGCAAATACCAGACAACCACATGGGGAATCGCATCGAATGTAATGTTATTCAAAATTCTGCTTTGTCAAGAATGACTCCTGATCAAAGTGTTTGTGATAAAAAAGAAAAGGGAATAACCCAAGTTCAGTGCTCTCAACCATCCCATATTTCTCTTCATCTAATCACATTTAGTGTTTTTAATAGAAGAGTTTTTCGACGTGCCGAGAAGATTATTGATTTTTCCCTGAGTCCTGCGGTGTAAATTTGGAAGCCGGGCCAATCAAAACCAGTGGAGGCAGCGTGGGCCTAAGTGGATTAGACTGGCGGGGATGGCGGAGGGGGAATCTAGAGGGAGAAACCAAAGCTCTGGTGGCTTCAATAAACCCGGCCTGTGAACCAGGAAAAAGATGGAAGAAGGAGACACTTTTTTCCCCCACCCTCTCTCACCCTCCTGTTTTAAGCAGATAAGCTGCTTCCAGGGTCTTAGTTATGCTGCGTAGAACCCACAACACGAAATGGAAACTTTTAACAAGGCAAAGAAAAGCCAAGACGTCTGCTCTTCATGTTGTCTTTTTCTTATTGACAAGAGGGATTTGGGGGATGTTTGGTGTGGTCAGTGATGGGGGGCATTACAAAAAGCTTGTGTGATGCAACAATGTGAGCGTGTCACATGCGTTCTAGTCGAGGCATGGACTCAGTTTTGAAAAGTTTTCCTTTGACTAGCTTTTGCAATAAGGCAGAACTGGCCGTGTCTCGATGAGTAAGTGGCAGCCAGAATATCACCACTTTTATTTGTGTTGATTATCCTGAAGCTCCCCCATCATGTCTCTGGTCGGGGGCACAACTTAGTGGAATATTTATGTAGTTCACAAGATGGTGAAACAAATACTATGGTTAAAATATGCACTTCAACTCTCCACTGTACATTATTTAATCATTTAATCTGTCTGTGAAATCCAATATATATACATTTTGCAACAGTTTTAAGTATTGCTTGTTTATTTGCTATTACTTGCTTTATCTATTTTTGATTGCCCACTTGCTGCTTTAACATGGGACAATAAAGGCTTATCTTATGACCACAACAATAGAATAAACAATGACCAACCGGGGGTCATAGTCTCTACAAACTCAATTTAAGATAGGATTGGTCATTTGTTTTTGAAAAAACATTTTAACTTATTTGCAGAAATCCTCTTTATGTCCCAATAGCCATCAATTAATAAAGCTGTATGAAAAAACAAAGCTTGGTTGGAATTACTAGCGTCAAAGTGGAGCCTGCTCATGCTTTCCAATCCTAGCTTTAAATCTTTTCTCTATACTTTTAAGTCTATACTTAGTGCAACTGTCTGCCGCTCATCGAGTTACATTTGCTATTTACCCCATGTAAACAATGTCTTTTCAGCATAAATGTGCAGAGACTACAAGGCAGCAGTGTTTGCATTTTGTCCAGAATTTTGGATTAAAGTGATTAAAGAGACAACATCATGCCCTTGGTGGGATATTTAGGGGAATGTATTTCCTCTGAGATGTTGCAGCTCTCGGACAAGGACATCAGCTTCCTGAGGGAGTTTCTTTTTGACACAGCTGGCCTCATTCATCACACACCAGTCATTTCACCACAACTGGTGCAGTACTGCATTTTAAGGTGCACAGGGAACCTGGTTTTGTTTTGGCCAACCACAGTGATATACCCTGAAATGAAGCTGATGGGCACTGCTGTGGTATTTTCTTGCTTCAAAGTGGCACAGTACAATTTTCAGCTCAGCGTTTGATGCTGATGATTTGCAGGTTTTCTCTGTAGGGATCACACATTATCACTGCGTTACGAAAAAGGGAGTCTGATCTGGTTGTTAGTCATTACTAGTGGCTCAATTATTCTTCGCCAGCCACTGGAATTTAAACCTTTCCTGCACAAATTCGGTTTTCGACTACTCTTACCCACCGCTCCCTCCCACACTTTGTAACTCCTCAGAGATGGAGAAGTGAGAGTAATCTGGGTGGCAGCAAATTAGAGAAAACTCTATTATTCTTATAGTTGAAACATATCTCAATTAGATTCATTATTTTTACCAAGGAGGTTATGTTTTTGTGTGCGTTTGTTTTCTGTAAAAATACTATGTGTAGGGGTGATCCATGGAGGAACACATACAATGTTAGTGGAGATCTGGATCACATTTTCCTTGATTTCTCAGATAATAATAATAATGATGGATCCTGATAAACTGAGATTGAATATATAAGCGTCGGCAATTTGGTGCAGATCCAAATGAAAATCTGTCTCTAGTATATTTAAACAGCTTTTCATGAGAGACTGTTTGGCATCGGCGGACGTATGAACTCTACTGAGCGATCATATCTTTTGTGTAAAGGAGCTTTTTATTCGGCCCATTATCTCTGTTTGATATAAGAAATGCATTGTAAAACGTGATGTTTTTAAGTATTGTCCTTGGCAGAACTGGCATGCAAATCCCATTGTGCTTTAAAAACACTTACATGTAGGTGCACTTACAGCCCATAGACCTTGGTATACTGGTATTGAAGGTAGCAGCCTACATTGAGCATGGTACAAGCTGAAACAGTCATCTAAACAACACACACTGTCAACATGGCCGTTATGTTTGCCAGCTATCCTCTTTTCGTCTACTACTATACTACTACTGCTAAACTGCAGACTAATTTTGGTTAATCAGTGGATCTGCCTTTTTTCTTTTGAAGTGCTACCTCTTTTCTCCCTGTGGCTTATCGATATCAATGCACGCACACAGAAAAGGCGAGCGAGAGCAGTAGGGAGAGTTATGTGTCTAAAACGGCTGCAGGAGTGAGTGGCCGCTAATTGGAAATCAAACGCAATGGAGCTGGAAGGCAGCCGAGAAGGAACAGCGGAACCTCCAGCTCCTGTTGTCGCTCAATTTAGACCATGACAAAAAAAGGAGCTGTTCCTCATGTCACCATTTAACCTATTCACCAGTGTGGAATGGCAGCAGCTGTTTTTTTTACAGTACCACATAATGGGACAAAATGGCTCTGGCTGGCCGAGCTCCAGCTACCAGCGAAAAGGCGCCGGTGCGGAGAGAGAAAAGGGAGAACGTGTGAAAGAGACAGTGCAGAAGAGAAAACAGTGCTGCTGTGGTATCGCTGATACTGAGAGAGTTTGCACCTTTCCATCTGAGCTGATATAATCACTACTTCTTTCCTTTTTTTTTTTCTGTATCAACAAAGAATTCGAGAGGCACTGATGGAGGCTACAGATGGCCTGGGCTCACACGGACTACAGAAGCATCTAGAAGTTTACACAAGTCAGACAAGAAGCCAGATTGGATGCAAAGCTAAGGCTGTTCTTTGAGGAAAGAAAAAACTTCTTTTTAATCTCTTTTCAAGTCGAGGTGTGAAAAAGTGCTTCGTGAGCGACGGCGTGACGAGCGCAGTTACAGAAACTCCGAACTAGATGAGGCGGTTGTCAGACACGGCGCTGTC